GGTAGTATATATATATATATATATATATATATAAATATATACATACACACACACTATAAAATGCAAACATAAATATTTATTCAACCATTTAAATGCCTTCAAACTAGTTTCTGTAAGTATATATAGAATATAGATGACCATACATGCAACTTTCTTTTTGTTTTTGTTATGGCTTTGTTTTATTCAATTTTAAGTGGAAAATTCATATTTTTTGTTGAATTAAACTTTCAGACTTTTAGTTTTGTATGTGTGTCATGTTTGGTGTGTTTAATAATAACCATTAGCTTAACTACCCTTAACATAAACAGAATTTAAAGCTTTATTTTTGTTTTTTACTGCTTTTTTGCTTTTTAGTTTTTTATTTTAAGTGTTATTTGTCAAGCTAAATGAAGCTTCTAACATTTTCATACATTTTCTGTGTCCATGACATTTGAAGTTTGATAAGTTTTATTGTAGCTCTTTCTTTATAAACTGTTTGTGCCAAGCAGGGAATTGGAGTATTGCTGGAACACAGAAGTGGCTTCTAATGCAACTTTCCACAGACAGGAGGAGTGAGTGACACTGTCGTCTGCTAGTTGTTTTGCACTTTACACACCTAGCCTTGCTTTGTTGTGCCAGAATGCACCAGTAGTTTTCCACACACCTTTCATACGAGAACTTTGGACATTTTTAATTATTAATCTTTTAAGAGCATGATGTAGTTTTTAAAATTGTCCAGTATGTTAGGATTTTATCAGAGAAACTTCAAAAATCACCTTGTATTTTCACAAAGAGAATCATTACCCACAATTTTAGCTACTGTGGTTCTATTTAGTAAAAGGAATGTCTTCATAACAAAATAGAACTATGCTAGTTAACAATATCAGTATTTTGTGACTTAACAATTAATATTATAGTATTTTATTAGTGGAAGTTCACTTTAGTAAGAAAATTGATTGTTCAGTTTCTTTATAAATACAAGGGATGCATGTAAAATTTTAAATTGCAAACAGGTGGCTGTGGTACATAAAAAGGTTCTAAATTATAATAACATAAATCCAGACTTAGTTTATTTTTTGGATAACATTGTACACTCAGTTACCTTAGTGAATGTGTGGGTGTGAAATGTAAAACAGTAGCTCCAGGTGATAGAAATTTCAAACTATGTTATGTTTGTTTTTTCAACCCTTTGAATATGAGCTGCACCTTTTTATAGGCCTAACATAGAAGGTTTTTCTACTAACTACCATTGATATATATTGTGTAATATATTTAGTTAAAGTATAATATTATTGAAATGACTTATTTTGTTGCTTGCATATTTTGCTATTTATAAAATTTTATACATAAAAGTCCTCTTCAACGCAAAGATATTATTGTGTTGGGTATTTTGATTATAGAGGTTTATTCACTTTAAACAGCATGAGTTTTGTGGTCACGTGATGGGGGAATACAGAATACGCTAGTGTTAGGTTGAACCATATTATTCATTGGAAGCATTGCATATGTATCAACCTTGTCCACACCATTTATGCTTGAAACTTAATTTTATAAATATTTTGGGCTATTATGAAGCTTTACATCATGCCTATGTTGATGATCTTTGACACAGTTAATTGACTAATACCAAGTAACACACAAAGAGCTTCTTCTATTAAACCTTTATGAACTTTCACTTGAAGTAGAAGGAATTAGTTTTTGGGGGAAATGCAGCTGGTTATTGACACAGCTTGTCTAAACAAAATCTTTGAAAATTTGAAAAACAAAATACAAAGAAGTAAATACAGTCATAAATACATATTCTCTTTTGATCTTCAGTGACTTAAATCAAAATGTTACATCCTAGTATCCTTCTGTGTGGTAATTTCTTTCAGACTAGCAGTCACTTTAACAGTTCAGGATGAATGAGACAACTAGTAATTGGTAATCAAATATATATGTATGTGTGTGTGTGTGTGTGTTTGTGTATAAATCTATAAAGTCCTTGAATTTGTCAAGTTGATGAGGATTTTTTGTCTTTAGATGTTTAAAGGCCTATAAAATTATCTACAGGTTCTCTACTAAACATAAGGGATATCTTGTACAATTATATAAATATTTAAATACCTAAATTAAAATGAAACAAATGTTTACTTGTAAATAAGATAGCATAATTAAGCATGTTCCTATTCAGTAATTAAGCAAATACTTTTGAAAATAGTTTTTTGATTGGTTTGATTATGACTCTGTACAAGGATGGTAAAACACATAAGCTTAACAATAGAAAAGTATATGCAAAGGTGGTTAAAATGTAAGATAAATATAACAGATAAAACACCTTAGTAAACTTGTTTTTATTAAGTATCATTTCAATCAAACACTCATACTCAAGCATTTATGTGACATTGTTTAAGAAGCAGATCTAAATAATTACTTCAGTAAGTTTTTTTTCATAACTTTCCATATATATTAACACACACACACATACATAAATGAATGTCAACTTTGTTTTATAAGGTTTAAGCTCCTTCTCATGGCTAAACTTTGATGGTATTGCACCAGGTTTTAACTGTTTTTGATTTATGAAGGGTTAATAACAAAACATTTGTTGAGAGAACCCAAGTATTAAACGTTTTAAAAAACTTCAGCTTTTCTCAGGCAATTGAAAGTAAATCCTATATTTCTTTTCAGCTGCTAAAGAGAAGCAGAAGAGTTTTTCAGAAATTTGATAACAAAAGTCATTGTCCATGAAATATTCAGTACAAAGTCTAGAGTTAACTGATATTTGAAGTAAAACCATTACATTTAATTTGTATTAGCCATAACCAAAGCAGTTTTTTGTTTTTTAAATGGAAATATCAAAGGAAATTCCATTTACACAATATTCTTTCTTTTTTATCTCAATTTGAGTAACCAATAGCTGAACAGAACTTCACCATTGTGTAGAGATTAACAAATACCTAGCAGGCATTAGGTCAACTTGTCAAGTAAAGAATTCCCCTATCATGTGACTATGACGTTACATGCACAAACTTTATTATAAATAAGCATACTTCAAATGTGAAGGAAATTTCAATGGACAGTGTAAAATAACATGATATATAAAATAGATGAGAAAAATGGGTAAAAACAGAACACAGTAAAGAGTGATAAGTTAACTATGAAAATTAATGAAAGAAATATTAGACTAAAAAATTGATGAAACATAAAAACCACCCCAAGTTTTAAGGCACCATGATAAAATGAATTAAGTTTTTCCTGACCAATAACATTGATTTTAAATTTATTGTAATTCTAAGTTTAAAACATGGAAAATAATGAATGACTAGAAAAGAATGTTAAATGTGTATTGTGTATGTATCTGGTTTTCCAGGTAAACTGAAGGATGAGGACAATGTCTTGAAGTGGGTCACAAGTGAAGATGTTCTAGATGATCCAGAAAAAATTGAAGAAATCAATCTTAAGATGCTGGAAAAAATGTTGGACACATCTAATTTTGTAGCTGTTCTTTTCTGTAAGTTTGCTACTGCTCAGCTACTATAACTAATGTAAACTTCAGTATGTTTATCTTCACCTAAGAGTCATAATTATTTAAAACTCTCTAATTCATGTCAAAATTTATTAACCACTTTAACATACATATGTTTCTGTTTGCTGATTTATAAAATTTTATATAGATTATGCGTGTAATAGCATTTATCAATACTTTTAAAGAAGAACATGACTTACAATGTTTTAATTGTTTTTTACAGTAGGTGACTTGCTCATTTGCTTAGAATGGAGGGTTTTTTAGTTTCTAACATGTATAATCGAGAGTTGTTTCTAAAAGATTTAAATAAGAATATGTATTATGGTATGTTAATGCTTTTTTAAGTGAAGAACTTGTGGTTTTTGTCTTATGTGCATAATAGAATATTTAATTTCCAGCAAATTTAAACAAGGGCAAAAAAGACTGTACCTGAACTGTCTTGTGTTTGACTTTTTCAGTTATTAATTAGAATGATTAAAAGTTGTTAACATGGATCATTTTGTATAATCACACATTATTTATAATAATTTTAAACAAGAAACATAATAGCTTGTCTTTTTTGTGAGGAAGTGCTTAGTTAAAAACATTTAAATTATCTAGCATACAAGTATTTTATTTCATACATTTTTAAATGAGAACATTAAAGTTGATAGTTTAATCCCTTTGTGAGTGATTTATTCAGTTATTTGTAGAGGAGTTTATAGTATCTAGTATGTGTTATATGCACCATAAAATACTTATATTCCAAGGAATTTAAACAAGGATGAGAAATACAATACCTTAATTTTTTGTGACTTACTCAGTTGATTACTTAGAATAATTTATTGGTTTCTAACATGCATCATGTTTAGAATCAAATGTTTTTTTTATGAATTTTAACAAGATTATTAATGGCTGAGTTGCTCCGTTAGAAAGATTCATGTTTCCTATCATGTATTTCATTTCTAGTGATTTTAAACAAGAACTTGACTTTAGTTTTTTTCTGTTGGTAACAGATAAGGATCACTGTAATGAGTGTGATAAAGTATTGACAGAACTGGAGAATATTGATGATGAAGCTGAACAAAATGACATTGACTTTGTTAAAGTCAGTGATCCTGTTATTGCTAAACAGTACAATATCCTGTCTTTTCCTACATTGGTCTTTTTCAGAAACAAATTCCCTCAGTTTTATGAAGGTGAGATTGAGATGTTTCTCTTTGCTATAGAACTGTTTTTTTAAGTATATTGAAAGTACCTTATTTGTGAAATGTTCTAACTTCTTATTTTAACTTAAGTATTAGAATGTGATTTTTTTGTTAGTAACAAATAGGACTATGTGATCAGTGATGGGGTCTGATGTACTTTGTAACCATTCTGTAGAGGAATAACCTTAAACATTTTAATATATCCCTCAGGAGCCAAGGGGTGTCTTTACACTACAGTTTGTTGAGTATTAAAAGTAAGTTCAATCTGGAAACTCCCAAAGAGAGTGATTTTGGATGTATCTTTTTGAGACAAGTTTTCATTTGTTAATTGATAAATTTTTAAGTGAAATACAGCATCCTCAAGTCTCCATACTAGCTAGTGCTAAGGTCTACTTGCTGAGAGTAACTTCAGTATATATCAAGAAAGCCACATTCTCAGTATCATTAATTAAGCAATTTCCAATGTTTCATACTTCTGCTATCACCTTTTTATGTTTAGCTTTCAATTGAGATTCAAAGGATTTCACTTGTGATTTGAGAAAAGGTTGAAGCATCATGATAGTCAACAGTAGGATGAGCAGACAGGAACACTTTGAAAGCAGCTACAGGCATGATATTGTACTTGGCTTGCTGCACAATATCTGCCAAGGTAGTTCTTGTGCTTGGACATTACGTTCATGATGTGATGACAAATTACAGTCTCCTTACCATTTCAACTTACTTTTTGCAAGCCCCAACACTAAAATAGTGTGGGAGATTTCTTCTTTTTAGCCAATAAAATTGTCCAAAAAATTTCAGTTCAAATTAAGAAAAAACAGATTTGGTAAGTGTTTTTTTTCAACAAAAATGTCCCCCCACTGGCTTGTGAGGGGCCTGTTAATTATAATTGGGAATTTTAATAATAATAAAAATTGTAAACATCTTTTGCAAATAATCAAAGTTCAGAGCGATTCTTTTGTTATATCCTCTTTTCTGTTCTGTAATAAAATATAAGCATTAAGCTGATAAAGTCTATAATGTTGCAAACAATGAGTTTCTGTTTTTGTAAAACACGATCTTACGTATTTTTATGTAATATGTTTCAGCTGAACTAAGATATGAACAAGATATATGGTATTTCCATTAAAAGAACCTTGTATAAAAGACTAAGTGTGCTTGAATTGAAAGATGGTATCAGTATGGTGGATTAGTAATAGTTTTGCCCCGAATCTTTCTATTTACGCTCATCTATATCAAAATTACTTTCTTTACCGATAATGAAGTAAAGGAAAAACAAGAGCAAACAGAGAGATTACATACCTTATCCCAGATGCTTCTTTTCGAGATTGCATGAGTTTATATTGGATAATGTCAAATTTCACCTTCAAAAACTCAGAAAATCCTTCTCAGATCCAGAATGATCAACAATTTGGATAATTTTTTTTATTCTGATAGTAGTCTCAACCTTAATGTGCCCATAAAATTTGGTACAAATCCGATCACAATTTACAGAGTTAATAACCCAAAACTGCAAAAATGCCCTATCTCCCCATTATAAAAACATGCTTCAAAGTGATTTGGATCTAGACTAAATTTGGGGAGGACTGTCCCATACTGACTTCCCATCTTGTGTATAATTTTCGTGTACATCGGCCTACTAGTTTTTGCATGGAAACAGACATACGGGGACTCTTTTTTTTTTATATACCCTCACCTCCCATCTGGAAGCGAGGGTAATAAATGTACCAAAGAAGGCTTTAATTTTAATAGTAACTCATATTTGCTTCGGTTTTACTGTTAGTATTCAAACTATGTGATATAGTATTGTAAATATATTGTTTAGTAACCAGCTTAATACGTCTTATTTTGCTGAACATTACTTTAGTTTGACATATTGATAACACAGTATTACATCCACTTTTCTGTTAATTATGTTACTACCAGTTATTAATGTTATTCATATTGACATTTACATTGTGGTGTAATGCATTTTGTGATATATCGATAATGTAAAATTTACATATCTAACCTTGATTTAACTTTATGGGCTTTAAATTTGTCATTCTAAGTAGTACAGTTTAAATCATAAAGCTTATTGAGAGCCTTTGATGCAGTATGAATTTCAAAGGAATTTAAAATAGACATTCTAATTATAGTCTATCTGAAGAACTGAGAAAAAGAAACATGCATTTGACTCTTTTTAAGTAAACAACACTTTCTGTAAAAATGCATAAAAAAAAACAATGGTCTTTTGTTCTTCAGCATAACTGTTGGAAGCTTCACAAAAGATATGTTTAATGATATATAGTTTCAGAAAGCACCTACTTTGTGACATATTTCCTCAGTTCACATTGAATGGAACTTGTCTTTAAGAATAACATTTATTTGGGCTGTGATATGTTAACAAGCACTCACATATATAAACATAGCTTAAGAAACATCTTTGCAAATATGATATTCTGGATGACTTTACTTATTTGATATATACCCTGGAAAGGTATCACTTAAATAGTGTTCTTGGGTATTTCTTTCACCTACAGTCTCTTTCTCATATGATACCTAGGCAGTATGATTCCCATAAATGTATTTTAAAAGTGAACTTTGAATAATTTCATGCAAAATGATAACATATTTCAAAACTAGTGTTTGTTACTAAAACCTATATATCATTTGAGTTTGATTCCCATAAATGTATTTTAAAATTAAACTTTGAATAATTTCATGCAAAATGATAACATATTTCAAAACTAGTGTTTGTTACTAAAACCTATATATCATTTGAGTTTGAAATAATTATTTCCTATCATCATACTTTGTATTTAGCTCTTGATATGCAATTTTAATAATGCACCTTTCTAAATGCAATTCTCAAAAACACCAATACAGCTCTAAATGCTATTCAGTTTTTATTTATATAAAATATAGAATTTAAAAACAAGCACTTCCTCTTTTACAGCCAGGGAAAAAAGATGTGTTTTTTTTTTTAAGAATTGTATATTGATGAAAAATCAATAAAATAAACTTATATGATTGCTTTAAATAAAATTTAATATCATTGGCAAAGTAATTGTAAGCATTAATTCATTTGAAACTTAGTTTTGAAAGTTAATTTTGAAACTTCAACAAACAATATACTGCAAAAATCACAATTGTAACTTTTAGATAGTAGAGTATAACTTGGTTACTGTTATAATAAATTAACTATATACTTTTAAAGGTAATACGAGACCATTAATGACCAGCACTGAAAATTTTCTTAATTGTATAATTGCCTTTTCTTTCAACACAATGAGTGCCATTATTGCAAATTTTACATCAAACTGTTAAGCTTTAATTGCTGAAGACCTGTAGGCTTTACAGATATTTGGACACAGTTTGTTGTTATAACACTGGGAATGAATCATTGCTGGTAATTCATTCTATGTGCATGATTAAAACATGATGTTGAATGTGCAGGATATTGCAAATTCTGTAATTAACACACTTCCTAATGAACTCGTGTTCAATTCTGCTCCAAAGTTTTATATATATTTCCACAAATTCTATGCATTTGGCAGATGATGTATTTTAATTATCAACTAATATCATCATAATTTGCAGAAATTTACATCCACAAGCTCACTATTGAATTTAATAACTATTCTTGTTAGTTGTATTAAACATTTACAGTTTTTTTAGTACATGGGTTATTTTGTAACTCCTAATAAAATAGGCCAAGTGTAGCAGACTCTGGATCTGTGGGTCTGTCACTCACTTCTCAGGCTATGGGTGCATTATAAGGGTAACAGTAAAATCTCACTATATGGTCAGATAAGAGTAGCCCAAGAGTTTGCAGTGGATGCTATTGACTAGCTGCCTTCTCTCTAGTCTTATCAGTTCAAACTTATGGACAGATAGTGTAGATAACCTTTAAGTAGTTTTGCACAAATACCTGAAAACAAACAAACCTAATAGATCACCTACACTAAATAGGTGGTTACTTTTTCACATATGGCTATATTTTCTTAGAGAACTTTTTAATGTGCCAGAACCACATCTTCTGAATGTTGAATTAGATGGAACCTGTAATAAGTCTGCATATCAGTTTAGTTGATGGCACTGATGCCATAATTTTTAACAATAAATTATTTTGTTTTCATTGTACTGACCTCAACAACTTCTCTAAAATTGTGTAGATAAGCAAATGGAACATCAAATATCTTGTATCATTGTATTTGTACATATAACTCTTTGCATAACCAAACCATGAAAATCTTTAATTGAAGAAAACTACAAATATAAATGTGTGTGTGTGTGTGTGTATATATATATATATATATATATATATATAGACAGTATTGTCATACCTTTAGGAACAAGACCTATTGGGCAGACATTCATATTTGAGTTAGACGATGGTTCCAAGCATGCAGCAAATGTGTTAAATTCAGCAACATTTCTATAATCTTCTTCTGTACATGGTTGATCTGAGTTGTTAGTTTGTTCTTTAAATTATAATGCTTAATAAACAATTAGCATGGGATCCTTCTTTCATGTTAACATGGTACCTTGTGATTTTATGGGACAAAATTCAGTAGTCATTTTTATCAACTGAAACAAGTCATAGCTTTCAATGAAGCTATGTCACATAAAAAAAAACTAGCATGTTAATATACCAAAAAATGATCAGTAAGATTCTTTTATGATAAAAATTCTATAAATTTCAATGTAAAAACTGTGAGTTTCATATATTTTGAAAGATATAAATAACTATTGCAGTGAGTGTTACACTGTTACTTATATATGGCAATGTAGTTGTATCTTTAAATTTATAATCTGCTACTGGAGCAGAGACTTGTTTTGAATTGATGAAACTAGTGTCTAGTCTCACAAACAAATTGCATAGTAGTTGAGGTACCTCCCTTGATCCCCCTTCCAACAATCCGATCAAGGTTAGGTTTTGTTTATTGCACTTAATGGAGCATTTATAAATAAACAAGGAACTACATATTTTTCCATATCTAGAAAATACC